ATGAGCAAGTGGACTTCAGAAAAAACCTGGAAAGATTTGTATGGACTGATGCTGAGTAAGTGAGCAGAACCAGGAGAACATTGTACATAGTAACAGCCACATTGTGCAATGACTAACTTTGATAGACTTAGCCTTTCTCAGCAATGCAAGAATCTAAGACAACTCCATAAGACTCATGATGGAAAATGCTATCCACATCCAGAGAAAGAACTATGGAGTCTGAATGCAGATTGAAGCATACTATTTGCTCTTTTTTTTTTCTTCTGTTTTATTTTGTTTCTTCTTTCTGGTAGTTCCTCCTATTTATTCTAATTCATCTTTACAACATGTGAAAATATATTTAACAGGAATGTATATGTAGAGCCTATATCAGATTGCATGCCATTTTGGGGAGGGAGGAAAGACAGTAGGGGAAAAAATTTAAAACTCAAAAGCTTATGAAAGTGAATGTTAAAAACCAAAAATAAATAAATTAATTACAAATATAACAACTTTATCTTTCAATTTCAACAATCTGTTTAAACTTTGCCCTCTTGAGAGCCACCTCACCTGTGTATGTAGTAATAAGTTTTTGTAATTGGAGTCATGTCTTTCCAAAGGTTTGAAAACAAACATCTGTTAAGGGCATGGCTACTAATGAAGTTAATGGTTTTGATAGTATCTCGAAGCACAACATCTAACTGATAGTATTTTTTTTTGGCTACGAGTGCCTCCTGATGGATCATATAGTGAGTAAAAGTTCACTGCTACCAGCTTTAACTTTTGCTACAAATTCAACATTCTCACCCATCATTGCTCCAACACTTTCTGTAGACTCCAATGTAATTTTTCCACTGTAAACCTTCTTTGGTGAAAAATTCATCGACCTGAAGATCTATACCTTCATCTCTTGTATGTCCTTCCAAAGGGTGACAAAACAATAATTCCTCATGCATGCTTCCTTCATAAATATATCTTACATAAAATAACAACTGTGCTATGTTAGGAATTATCAGTTGTTTTATCTAACCGAATTGCAAACTTTGGGCTACCTTAAGCTGCTGGAATAGGTCATTACTAATTTCAGAAATTCTTTTGGAAACAGTATCATTTGATAAAGGAATTTTATGAATTTCATCACCATACTTTTTTTTTCCCAAGAACTATTTCTGACATTTTAATAGCAGCAGGTAACATAAGATCTTCTCCTATCACATAGGGCTTTTTAGTTTTTGCAATTAAATAAGAAGTTTCATAAGATGCAAGTCAATACTTTTCATTGACAGTAACAAATTTCTCAAAACATCATTTTTCTTTATTTGAAGATTTTAAAAACTGTTCAAAATATTCCTTTAGTTTATTGCAGTATGCTGCATGCTTGGTATTAAGATGTTGTTTTTGTTTGGCTGGTTTCATGCTCTCTGTAGCCAAGACATCATTACAAATTAAGCAAAGAGGTTTTTCCACACTATCATTGTTATTAGAAGTAAATCCATATTGTAAAAATGATTCAACATATTTTCTTTTTCTTGTCAATTTAGGTGTATTACAACCTGGTAGGGAAGACTGCTGCATTATCCTCAGTATTTTTACTTCGTCCATCTAAATTTAGCCACTTATTCATAATAAAAATATTTTTGTCCTAAATATAAATAATTACTGCTAATACTTTCTCAAATAAATACTAGCTTTAGTGTATGAAATTACATTTGCTTGTGCTTATTTTGGAAAATTGATGTTGACACTTACATATACATATAGCAGTGATGGTGGAGAAATATTATTAAAGGGCTTTTGTCTTTACTTGCTGCAATTAAATACTTATGTTTCTGTAAGAAGAGATAATAGCAATTTTAAAAAATCAAACATTCTAATATAATACAACCCAAAGATATATTAGTTTGATACTTACATGCTGAGGAAATAATGGTAGGAAAATATTAAAAGTCTTTGTTTTCTGTAATTAAACTATTATGTTTCTGTAAGAGCAGAAAACTTTGTATGTATGATACAATTCATAAAAACTGAAATTCATAGCACACAATAGTCTCAAATTTGAGCTGAGGTGTTTCTGGCAGCGTTCATTGGCACTGTGTGGTGTGATGGCATGCATAGTGCAAAGTGTGCATGTTGTGTGTTCAAAGGGCTGCAGTGAAGTCTCCTGATGCAACATGGGCAAGCACTTCCAGAAACACCTTGGATTCATTACATGTTTGATTTTGAATTATTTTTTGGTCCTTTCATGTTCTGAATCCTTTTACTGTTGTCAAATTCTTTTGTGACTCCCAGATTCAGACAGTTTAAGAAGCACTGTTCTAGACTCCCAGTCTAGAACTCTAAACATTTCGAGGATAGGATGCATGTGATATTGTCAAGGTAGAAATTACAAGATTTGCTAGGTGATTGAATGTGGGAAGTAAGAGAGAGTTGTTGAAAATGACAGAGGTTGGAAACCTGAGTAATTATAAGGATAGTGGTGTTCTCAATAGAAAAAGTGAAGCTCAGAAGATGGGGGTGGGTTTTTTTTGGGGGAAATATAATGAGTTCTACTTAGAATATTTTGATATAAAGATGCCTACAGGTTACACAATTTGAAATATCCAGTAGACACATGGGGAGAGGGACTAGGGCTTGGAAGAAAGATTAAGTCTATAGATTAGACGTGGGGAAGAATTAAATCCATGGTAGTTGACAAGGTCACCAACTGAGAGAGTGTAGAGAGAAAAGAGAAGATGCTTAGGACAGAGCTTTGGGGTATACCTATACTTAGCGACATAACATAGATAGTGATCCAAGGAAGGTACTGAGGAATGGTCAAACAGACAGAAAGACAACCAAAATATACGTATTTTGTATTTTGGTGTTCAATTTTCTACGTGTCTATTGTCTCCTAGGTCCACATCCCCCATTCTCCAAGAATGTAAACTCCTTTATAAGACAAAGCTTTTGTTTTTTGTCTTTATGTCCCCAAATGCCGGACACATATTACACACATGAACTTCATGAAAGTTTGTTTAAATGGATGCATTAAGTAATTAAAGTGAACAAGGCTGAAGGCACATCGAATGCTGTTACAAGACTCCATTATTTTAATTTTTCTTTTAAACATTCTAATTGGTGTCACAGCTGCCATTGAGGTTACCAAACAACCTGAAAGTGAGGTTAAAAAATTAAAAAACAAACGAAAAACTACTGGGAGAGTGGCTGTTGGCAGTGACAAGTAAGGGGTGGGGCAAAGGGTCTCTGGGGCAAAAAACAACGTTGACAGCCAATGCCGTGGTGATCCATAGACTGCAGTGGCTATGAACTTGGCAAACAGGTCTGTTTGCAGTCAGAATGAATGAAACCCAATGGGAGATCTACTGCAGGAGGGCGACAAAGCTTTTTCGGGCGATCCTTAAGAAAGCTGATAATTTGTCTTGCAGAAGAGATTCTGCCTCAGAGATGACAGCAAGGAAACTAACACTCCTTTGCAGTCTCCGAGACAGACCCTTCCCTGCCTCCTGCTGCAGCGTGAGCCATGCAGGCTCATATTTCCATTCACCTCAAATCTCCTTTGAGCGTTTAATGCATTGCCTAGGACTGCACACACAAATGAATGGGGGAAAGGGGATGTAGCAGGAGGGGACGGTGGGGGGCAGTAACTGAATGGCGTTCGTGAAAGGGATTGTTTTTTTCTTTCAAATTACGCTTACTTGCTAGCATGAGAGGAAAGGGAAAGGAGGCCCGGCGTGTGATGTAGAAAGTAGGATATGAAGAAAGGCAAGGCAAGCGGACAGTAGATGCGTTGTGCAAGGATCTCTTAACTGCGTTTGAGTGGCCTGTGGGCTGCTGTATGTAACCCAATCCAGACAGGCTTGCTCTGCCTCACAGCTTGGAGAGCGACCCGGCTTGGCTAGCTTAGGGTATTTAGGACAGGACGGTAGCCGTAGGTGCTTGGGAGATAAGTTACCATCAGTAGCGTCCGACTCCTGGTGCTGCTTGTCCATCTGGGTTAATAAGCGCGCCATCACGACCCTCTCTACATTTATCTGGGGCGGGGCTAGGAGGGAAGAAAGGAGAAAAGAAGGTTGAGAAGGAAAAAGAAATAGAGGAGAAGAACCAGGAGGAGGAAAAGGAGAAAGAGGTGGAGTTGGGGCTCTAGAGGGGAGGAGGTAACAGGCAGAAAAAGAAACAAGCGACAAGTCTGGAGGGCGGGTGGGGCTAGGCGGGGTGGGGGTGGGGGACTGCTCAGCCCGGAGGCCAATGGTGTGGGGAGCTCGGGAGAGGGCGTTGCAGGAAAACCCAGGGAGCTGACAGCCAAACTCCCCAACTCCGCCTTCCTCCTGGCGCTAGCGATCCAGGAGCGGGCTGCCGCTGCTGGGGCTACTGCCGCCTAGGGAGAAGATGGCAGAAGAATGAGAGGGACGCCGATTTGTCGTGACTCCGCCGCTCAGCAACTTGGGACCCCCACCCTGCCAGGGGAGCTCGGCATCCTTCTTCGCGAGCCTCCTGGTGGCTGCTTCGTTTTGGTTGGTTTTGTTACGGGGCGACAAGGATAACGAGAAGACAGAAGCAGATGCACTCTTCGCTCTGGAAGGTTGCAAGCTTTTTGCTTTTGGGGGGCGTCTGCGGAGTGAGGGTGGGTGGGACTCGCAGCCGCGAAGACAGTCGGGCGCGTGTGTGGGAGGGGTGAAGCCGGAGACCTACCCACCACCCCCCGGGGCCGCAAAGGTGGGGAAGCTCGGCGGCAGCCACGGCGGAGGAGGTGGAGAGGGAATGAGCCGGCTATGGAGCTGCCCGGGCGGTGCGCGCGGAACTGGCTGCGGCTGTGGCCGGTGCCCAGCCTGAGGCGGTGCTCCGCTGGGCAGCGGGGCATCTGCGTCTCTGCAGCCACCACCGGCAAGGGCGGGAGTCTCTGGAGCCAGGCGCAGCAGCAGCAGCAGTGGCGGCGGCAGCAGGAGGGACTGTGAGCCACCAACTGCATCCCTGAACTCGGCTCGGCGCTCCAGATCTCTGCGTGGCGCACGGCACCCGAGGGATTTGGCTGGGGCGGCAAGGTCCGGAGTCGGGGGGTGCGGGGCGGCGTATGTGTGTTCGACCGGAGATCCCGGTGGCTGCACTGTTTAGCAGCCATGCTGCCCGGAGTGGGCGTGTTCGGCACCAGCCTCACAGCCCGGGTCATCATCCCACTCCTGAAGGACGAGGGCTTTGCGGTGAAGGCACTGTGGGGCCGGACGCAGGAAGAAGCCGAGGAGCTGGCGAAGGAGATGAGCGTTCCTTTCTACACCAGTCGCATCGACGAGGTGCTGCTGCACCAGGATGTGGACTTGGTCTGCATCAACCTGCCTCCTCCTCTCACCCGGCAAATCGCGGTCAAGACCCTGGGTGAGTGAGCGCTCGGCCGCTGCGCCTTCCTCTTCTGCGTCTGAAGCCCTGTGCCCTTTCTCCACCCCTCTCAGCCTTCTGATCTTCCGCCCTCCTAGGCACCCCCTTCCCACATCCATGTAGCCAAGACCATACCAGATACCCTCTTCTTCTACTTGCTCAGTCCCCAGAGCCTTCCCTTCTCTGGCACTAAGGATCCGCTTCCTCCTACAGGTGTATTAAGAGGATGTTGAAGGGGTGTGTATGTGGTGTGTGTGTGTGTGTGTGTGTGTGTGTGTGTGTGTGTGTGTGT